AAATATAAAGTCCTTTCATTATTTATGTACAATTTTAAATGAAATATTCAAATAATAAAATTTAGTAGAAAATATTTAATGTCAAAATATTAGTGATTTACAAAGCTCCTCGAAATGGTGTGTCAAATTCTTATGTACAATTTTTTATTACCACTTTAAAATAAAAAAAGTTGTTAAACTGTTTAAATTTGTAGTTTTTTTCAAAAATAAAATTCTTAATGTTTTAAAATCTGTAGAAACTTTTTTTTTCTCAGCAGAAAATACATAAAAATCATCATTTATAAGAGTTGAGAAACAGAAACCCTGTAAATTTGTGTAATTAGCTTATACATGTTACTTAAAAGAGATTAACGTGAGTATATAAAAGCTCGAAAAAGCATTTTCGCATAATCTAGATTTGTTAAATGTCAACAGAAAATCCGCTGTTAATAAGTGTAAACGAAGAAAAAGCTGCACGGCAAATATCTCGCTCGTATCTTAGCGATAAGGTTCTTCGATGGGTTATCAATTAGCGCATTTTTAATTAGAAAACCACAGAGGAAATTCTCAATTAACTTAACGACCCCATATAAAGCTGCTAATTGCTGCTTAAGCTTTCGCCGAGAGAAATTCATTTCGTCGTCGCCGGGAAATCGCGGTGACAAGTTACATCTCAGATGATATACGCCTAAATAGAACACGATGGTCGTGAGGGGTAATATAAGGGTGATGACATACATAACGAATCAATCATATCACGGTGACGCTCTATAAGCAGCCTCAACTCCCGTCATTTATCAAACAAAGATCGGTGATGAGACGCAGCGATCGGAAAATGTAATCACTGAAACCGTTAGTGGCATTTCATCCTTTATAACATATGTGTGTATATATATATATATATATATATATATATACACACACATATATATAAATTTGTTCTCCATTCTTAACAAACTACAAATAAAAAATCATTTATCAAATATGAGCGATGCTGTATTTAATTTAATGCACCTGATCCTGAAACGTTTTTCAAAAGTCTTATTTT